GTGGGGGTCCTCAACTTTGGAGGGACTTTGAAACATGCTTTTAAATACCACACGGAGTTCAGTGTGGATTATGGAAAAGGGGCTGATCTGTCGAGAAGGGACAAAAATACTGTCAAGTTGGAGTTTCCATGAGTGAAAGGACCAGGAGACAAAGCAAAGTACAGGTATAAATATGAAGAAGATCTGCGGAAGGGACATGGAAGAGACTTAAGGGCCTCGGACATAAGATTACCAGGTTAATGAGCTAAATGGATGAGACAGAAAGGACTGACAAAACCCGGGACCAGGAGGAAGAGACGTTGGAGGAAGATTGGAAGAAAGTTTTTTAAAAAATTCTATTTAGGATTGTTTTGTAAAATTAATGAGTATTAGAAAAATGTTGGAACGAAACTATTTGGCTTTAGCAGAAATGTTAAAAAGAACTATGCAAGAATATGTTATGGTTATGAGAAATTGGTATAAATAAGATTTAAGTTTTAAGTTTTAGGGTCTTTTATAGTAAGATAAGGTTAAAATAGATTAAGGTAATTTAATGACAGAATATTATGAAAAATGGGAAGGATTTGCTGTTATAATTAATAACTGGAATACAAAAAGGGAGGTTTGAGGAGGTCGATGAAATAAGGCAATGACAGTTAAGGATTTGGGAATATTGGATCTGTTTTTAATTGTTTGTGGTTTACTTTTGTTTTTTGGATTTTGATGTGTTTTGTCTTTTTTTTTATTGATTTGTATGGTTTGACTGCTGTTTGCTTTTCCCTTGTTTTTTTTCTTCTTCTTCTTTTTTTTTTTGTAACTTTAAAATGCTTAATAAATATCATTTAAAAAAAAAAAAAGTCCAAACAAAGCCAAATTTGGTACAACAAGAGTTTATTAAGTGCTCTTTAAAGTCACACATACTGTAAAGAGCATTTCAAAAATTGAAGTAACAATAAATTAAGTTTCTAAACATGACAGAAAAACATTTAAAAATCAACAAAGTGTACAGTACATTTTCTAAAACTCTGGGGGACCACTCGAAGAAGGTTCCTCTTCCACTCTTTGCTTCTTGCTGAAGAACCTGTCCATGGTCTGCTGCTTCATCTGCCTTTTCAGCACCTCCCTGAAAGGCGACATGACCCTCGTATCAAAAGTGTTCGCAAGGTCATGTGCCACGTGCTTGTCAGGGTGGTACCGCTGTGCAAAAGCCTGCACATCCTTCCACTTCATGCAAATGTCCCTCAGTTCTTTGGAGGACAGCCATTCCTCAGTTGCTTCCTCCTCTTCCAGCGAGGCCTGCTCCTGCGCAGCCTCTGCCTGCAGTTCGACCAGCTCCTGGGTGGTCAGCTCATGGTCGTGCTCCTCCACCAGCTCGCTGATGTCCTCCTCTGTGACCTCCAGGCCCATGGTCCTCCCCAAGGCAACAATGTCCTGCACCACTGTTGACTCTGGTGCATCAGAGTCACTTGGTGCCACACAGTCTGGCCACAGGCTGCGCCAAGCGCAATTCAAATTTCTCTAGCTGATCCCGTTCCAGGCCGTGGTGATCATCTTCAAGCAGGTGACGATGTCGAAGTGGTCCTTCCAGAATTCCCGCAGGGTGATGGTGGTGCAATCAGTCACCTCGAAGCATCACCTGAAAAGCTCCTTGGTGTAGAGTTTTTGAAATTGGCGATGACCTGCTGATCCATCGGCTGGAGCAGTGGCGTGGTGTTAGGCGGCAGGAACATGATGCTGATGAAGCTGAACTCCTCCAACAAGTCCAACTCAAGGCCTTTAGGATGAGCAGGAGCATTGTCCATCAGAAGCAAAGCCTTCAGCGGCAGGTCGTTGTCCAGCAGGTACTGTTTGACAGCAGGGCCAAAAGCAAGATTGACCCAGTCCACAAACAGCACACGTGTGACCCAAGCCTTACTGTTGGATCGCCACATGACACTCAGCTGCTCCTTGTCGACCTTGTGTTTCTTGAAGGCCCGTGGGTTCTCCGAGTGGTACACCAGCAGGGACTTGATCTTCAGGTCGCCGCTTGCGTTGGCACAGAAGAGCAGGGTCAGACGGTCCTTCATGGGCTTGTGGCCAGGCAACTTGGCCTCCTCCTGAGTGATGAAAGTCCTTTTGGGCATCCTCTTCCAAAACAGCCCGGTCTCGTCGCAGTTGAAGACCTGCTGTGGAATGTAGCCCTCCGTTTTCACAGCCTCCAGGAACTCCGCTGCAAAGTCTTCAGCCGCAGGAACATCAGAACTGGCAGCCTCTCCATGCCTGACCACGCTGTGGATTCCAGATCTTGCCTTGAACCGGTCAAACCAACCTCTGCTTGCCTTGAAGACTTCTGGCTCGCCTGAGGTTCCTGGCTGTTCCCGGACGAGGTCTGCGTGCAAGGCCTTGGCCTTCTCACAAATAACGGCCTCAGTCACTGTGTCCCCTGTACGCTGCTTCTCTTCTAACCAGATGAGCAGCAACTTCTCGACCTCCTCCAGAACAGCTGGGCGGTTCTTTACGATCCTGGTGACTCCCTTGGCTGCATCAGTCGCAAGGATCTTCTCCCTCATCTTCAGGATGGTCCCGATGGTCGATGGATTCCTCCCGTACTCCCTGGCGAGGTCTGTCACACGCATTCCACCGTCGTGCTTCCGGATGATCTCCTTCTTCATTTCCAGCGTCACCTTCTCCTTCTTCCTCTCGCCGGCCTCTGCAGAAGCAGTCTTCTTGGGTCCCATGGCAGCACAGCTCCTAGCTTCGCAAACTCAGAAAAAAAAAAAGAATCAGTGCTTCACATCCAAAAAATTCAAAAGCACCCAGCCACCCACCACACAGAAATTCAAACCCAGAACCAAGTCCTTGAATTCCAAACACCCAACCCAAAATCCAAAAACCCCCAAAAAAGTTTTAAAAGTTTAACTTACCAAATGGCTGCAAAAGAAGTTTTGGAAAAGCTTCAAAAATCGCCAAAGTCTTCTAAAACCTCAAATGGCTGCAAAAGAAGTTTTGGAAAAGCTTCAAAAATCACCAAAGTCTTCAAAAACCTCAACTGTTCCCCCAGCCACCCACCAACCACACAGAAATTGCAAACCCCTCCCCAACTGTTGCAAACCCCTCCCCAACTGTTGCAAACCCCTCCTCAACTGTTCCCCCAGCCACCCACCACACAGAAATTCAAACCCAGAAATTTTTTTTAAAAAAACCAACATGGCCCAATGGTCACAGAAAATCATAAAAATGCAGAAAAAAACCACACAAGCTCCCAGATTCTTGCAAACCCCTCCCCAACTGTTCCCCCAGCCACCCACCACACAGAAATTCAAACCCAGAAATGTTTTTTTTTTAAAAAACAACATGGCCCAATGGTCACAGAAAATCATAAAAATGCAGAAAAAAACCACACAAGCTTCCAGATTCTTGCAAACCCCTCCCCAACACCAGGTCCTTGAATTCCAAACACCCCAACCCAAAATCCAAACCCCCCCCAAAAAGTTTCAAAAGTTTAACTTACCAAATGGCTGCAAAAGAAGTTTTGGAAAAGCTTCAAAAATCGCCAAAGTCTTCAAAAACCTCAAAAAAGGCTCCCACACCGCGTGCTATGAGTTGCTCCTCGAAGTCAAGTCGCAACTGCACCTCTTCAAGCAATGCACCTTGGGTTTTAACGGTTTTTACAAAAAAGGAAACAAACTTGCAAGACGTTTTCGTCTTGCGAAGCAAGCCCATAGGGAAATTCGTCTTGCGAAGCAGCTCAAAAAACGAAAAACCCTTTTGTCTAGCGAGTTTTTCATCTTGCGAGGCATTCGTCTTGCGGGGCACCACTGTATTTCTTTCAATAAATAAAACGAGAAAGGGCATTGTCAGGCAGTGGGAAGTGAAGGAGCAGTTCCCTTTGTCATTCTTCAGACCTTTTGACAGAGGTTGCCTCAGGTACACTTGGAAGGAAGGAAGGAAGGAAGGAAGGAAGGAAGGAAGGAAGGAAGGAACTGCTCTATCCCTGGCCGGCCTCACCTGTCCTGGCCCCTTACTAGATGGTGATTTGCTTTCCTCTTTTATAAAGCTTTCACAGAGATGTGCTGCCACAGGGTAAAACACCTGAGAGTTGTGTCTGCCGTTTTCATTGGGGCCCAGGGAGGCAGAGCACTCTGGGAAAATTAAGATGGTGGCCATGTCTGCCTGGGGCTTTGCGCCACAGCAGCACACCTGCTTTATAAAGAGAAATAAAAAGGTGGGGTGAGGGGAGATGTTGCGGTACGTGTTACTGATGTGGTGCTGGGATGACCAGTGACCCGTCTCAGACAGAGGTTGTATCCAGGCCTGTACTATTAAGATATTTTGATTGGAGACACCAGGGGCCTATCTTGGAACCTTCTGCAGACAACGTGTATTTTCTACCCCAGGGAAACGCCTTCCTTGAAGGATTGTCTGCTTCTGCTACTTTAACACAGACTTTGCAACTTTAACACCTAGCCTCTAGATCAGTGTTTCCCAACCTTGGGCCTCCAGCTGTTTTTGGATGACATCATGGATGATGGGAATTGTAGTCTGAAAGCAGCTGGAGACCAAATGTTGGGAAACACTGCAGATGTTTCAGCCTACAACTCCCATTAGCTCCAGCCAGCATGGCTAATGGTCAGGGATAGAGTAGAAGACGCCTGGAGGGCAAAAGCGTAGGGACAGTGAAATATACTCGGAGTCGGGAGTGGATTTCATGCTCTTTATTCAGCTCATAGTGGTGAGGAGGAATAGAAATACCCCCAGAATGTCTGCTTTATATACATTATTTACACAATGGGCCCCACGTGATTGGCTAATTCCGGGATTCAGCTGTAGGCCAATCAGGCTGCGAATTCACTTCCACCTGGAGCTGGATTGGGTGGCTCCTGTGGACCAGTCAGACTGCTTCATTCGGGACCCTATTGTTCTAGGACCAATCAGACTACTGCATTCTGAATCCTATTGTTCTAGGACCAATCAGACTGCTGCCTTTTGGATCCTGTTCAACTCAGTACATAACAAACAGCCTGTGTGGAACACACCCTGCTGACTAGCTCAGTTGGTTAGTGTGTGGAGCTGATAACAGCAAGGCTGCAGGTTCGATCCCCATAAGAGACAGCTGCATGTTTCTGCATTGCAGGAGTTGGACTCGATGTTCCTCAAGGTCCCTTCAAATTCTATGACTCTATGACAATGCGCTGTCTCTCCCAACAGTGTTCTGAACAAAGGAAACAAGTGCACATGAATGCACATCTACCACCCACCACATAAATAGTCAATCATGGTGGCACAGGTCAGGTGCAAGGGAAGAAAGGGGTCTCGTGCCTTTGTTGTAAAGCAGAGGTTTTCAGCAACTACAGCTCCCCCCCTTTTTTATATATTTTTATTTGATTTTCAAAAATAAAGAAAAAGAACAAATAAGAGAAGAAATAAAGTTACAGCAAAATATCATAAAAATTCCACATGTCAAGATTACTCTGAATCTCCTGACTTCCCCCATCCCATCTGTAATGGATTTAGTGGTTGCTCGTGCATAAGTTGCCGCCACCCCTGGCGAGGTTACCTGGTTAAACCCTTTCTGACTGAACAGCCTCCAGCATCGTGACTGTCTCAGTCGCTGGCAGAATCCGTCAGTGGGCGTTTCTTAAACTTTTTCCAGCACAAAAATTCCTTGACGCCTAGTCTCCGCCTAGACTCCCTGCGCGGAAGCCTTCTGCGCAGGGAGGGTGTGGGCAGCGGAGGACCCGTACTCTCTCCGCTGGTCTCCGGCGAGGAGTCTTGGAGCCTCCTCTCCGATTCCCCATCTGCCCCCCTTCTCTACTGGTGTTACGCTGATTTCCTTCCCCAGCGGATGGGCTGCCTCTCTCCCTACTGGGACCCTCTCCGCCATCCCTCTGGAGCCTTCCCTCCGCCTCTAGCTCCGATGGCAGTTCCCTGACACCATCCATGGGTCCTATTGATTCTATTTTCAACTGCATGTCAATACTTCTCTAATTTTTCATATTCCTAAATTATCTATACTTTCTGTTACATTACAAGTGTATTTAGAATCCTGCTAATGTTTTGACCTGTTTACAATGATTTTGTAAAGGTAAAGGTAAAGGGACCCCTGACCATTAGGTCCAGTCGTGATCGACTCTAGGGTTGCGGCGCTCATCTCGCTTTATTGGCCAAGGGAGCCGGCGTTTGTCTGCAGAAAGCTTCCAGGTCATGTGGCCAGCATGACTAAGCTGCTTCTGGCGAACCAGAGCAGCGCATGGAAACGCCGTTTACCCTCCCGCTGGAGCGGTACCTATTTATCTACTTGCACTTTGACATGCTTTCTTTTTTTTCTTTTTTTTTATTCAAAATTATAACAAAACATATTTTCCAAAAACATATCCTTATTCCCCCCCATTTTTCCTCCCCCCACCCCCACAACCCCCCCACCCCACCCCCCGACTTCCCTCAGTTCCAGTCTTTGGTTTCTCCAATAATGCTATTTTCTGCATGTTACAGAGTTGTATAGATCCTCCAACTGTTTAGCTAGTTATTATCAGTAAAAAATTGTGGATGTTTATTCAAAACCTGCCAAGGAGTTCAGTTCACTTTGTTGCGTCTTCAAATACTTTGTGAAAGGTTCCCATTCATCCTTAAAGTCACAGTTATCCTTGTCCCGTAGCTTACGTGTCAATTTTGCCAGTTCTGCATAATCCATCAATTTTTCTTGCCATGATTCTTTAGTTGGGATTTCTTCAGTCTTCCATCCTTCAGCAACTACAGCTTTTCTGATCCCTACATGACAAGTGGCACGAGCCCAAATTTCCCCTTATGTACAAATATTAAAGTTACAGGAGCCCTGCCGAGTCCTCCTTTGCATCTGGTCACGACAGCCCAAGAGCATGTCTGCTTATCAGAACTATAAATGTATTTAATAGCTAATTTTATTTGCTATGCATGTTTAATTCTTAAAATCTTCTGTAACTGGGGGCTCCCTGGGGTTTGCGGATAAGAGCCAAGATGTACTGTTCAGTCTCTTGAATATCATTCACATACATTGACATTTACATGCTACTGCTGTAAGTGATAATTCATAACCATTGTTTAGAATTTTGTGTCACTTTTTCATATAATAGTTATCTGTCGTGAGGTTGTTTTGTAGGCTCTTCATTCTCTGTTAACAGTTCTAATAATGTTTCAGATATTTGGCTAATATCGGGTCATATTTGTGCCAAACGACAAAATTGCATGATTTACTTTAGCTTGAAAAAAGTAAATAGCAGCCATAAATAATCAAATCATAGAATTGTAGAGTTGGAAGGGATTCCAAGGGTTAAGTAGTCCAAACTCCTGCAAAACAGAAATCTCAACTAAAGCTTCCAAGACCGATGGCCATCCAACCGCTGCTTAAAAACCTCCAAGGAAGGAGAGTCCACAGCCTCCTGATGGATGGAGACAGTTCCACTCTCCAACAGCTTGTACCATCAGAAAGTTCTTCCTGATGTTTAGTCAGAATCTCCTTTTTTGTAACTTGAATCCGTTGTTTGAAGTCCTAGCCGGCGCAGGAGAAAACAAGCTTGCTGCATCTCCCAGGTGACAGCCCTTTATATATTAAAAGATGGTTCTGATGTTTTTGATCTGTTTTATATTTGTTTTTTGGTTCTCTTTTGTAGGCTATCTTGGAAATCTAGATTAATAAAACTGTGTTGTTCTTGTTTTTAAAAAAGATGGTTCTCATCTCTCCTCTCAGTATCCTCTTTTCTAGGCTAAACAAACATGGGGTCCCCACTTTGGATCAGGACCATGGCAAAAGAGGAGGGACTTTAACCCTTTGTCTCCACTCCATTCATGAGTGGAGCTGAGCAGCCAATTTACATAGCAGTTGATCAAGGGCTTTTTTTCTGATTAAATACTTTAAAGCTGAGGTGGAAAACCTGTAGCCTTCCAGGTGTTATCATACTCCAGCTTCCATCAGCCCCAACCAACATTATCAGCAGTAAAACATGATGGGAATTGTGGTCCAACAGTAGTTGGAGACAGGGCCAGCCCATTTATGAGGCGAGATAAGGCAACCGCCTCAGGCGACACAACCACAGGAGCACCCGGTCCTGATGAAGATCCTTAATCCCCACTTGTTCCTGATGTAGATCTTCATTTCGTGGTTCGCCTCAGGTGCCAAAATATCTTGGGCCAGCCCTAGCTGGAGGGCTACAGGCCCCTCACCCCTGATTTAAAGGTTAATCCTTGTGCATTGAAATGCGCTCAGAAACAAATTGGCAGCACAGCAGAGATCCATTCCATTGTTTTGTCCCCCTGTGATTCCTCCACAGTCCCATTGCCCAGTCTCCTGCTGCAGCCAGTTTAACAAGTTTAACACCACAGCAGTAAGGTTGGCAGGTCTCAAGATTTTAACACTCTTGTCAGAGCCTCTGTCAGAAGACTCATAATCTCAGGGTGAGGAGCCAGAATAAATAGAGATGGGCAGGCTATTTATTGCTTGGCTTTAGGGCAGCCTCCCCCAACATGGTGCCCCAAAAAGCCTTTGCTGGTTGTGGTCAATGGAAGTTATCCAAAGTCCCTGGAGAGCACCAGGCCGGGGAAGGCAGTTTATAGTTCTCCCTCTACCATCTGCCTCAGGCTGCACCCTGAGGCACCACACACAGGCAAGCGTGGCCCCTTAACCCAGCAGGTCTCAATGTACCACACGAATCTTTAGGCTCCATTGCTAAGAGAAATGTACACAGAAGGAACTACTTAGTAGAGGAAAGGCCTGCGTGGTTTAACAACTACTTCTCTTGTACCAAGGGTGCGGGTGGCGCAGTGGTCTAAACCACTGAACCCCTTGGGCTTGCCGATCGGAAGGTTGGCAGTTGAAGTCCATGTGACGGGGGAGCTCACAGCTCCTGCCAAGCTAGCAGTTCGAAAGAACACCAGCGCAAGTAGATAAATAGGTACCACTGCGGTGGGGAGGTAAATGGTGTTTCCATGCGCTCTGGCACTCGTCACGGTGTCCCGTTACACCAAAAGCGGTTTAGTCATGTTGGTCACCTGACCCGGAAAGCTGTCTGCGGACAAATGCTGGCTCCCTCAGCCTGAAAGCGAGATGAGTGCCGCACCCCATTGTCAAGTTTGACTGGACTTAACCATCGGGAGGTCCTTTACATTTACCTTACCATTACTTTTCTTGTTGCTTCAGAGCTTTCAAAGCTAGTTTATTCACATGACCAGTAAGACATTACTGAGCTTGCACCAAGAAGCTGAGCTGAGTAGCTATACAGGGCCTACAATACAGGATGCTTTTAAAAAAAAAGGACTTCAAGGCTTACATGTGAGAGAAGAAAGCAAAGGGGCACATATCAGGGCCAGCTCAAGACATTTTGCTGCCCAAGGCAAGGATACGATGGCACCCTCCCCCAAGAGAGATACAGAAACCATAGGACTGGAAACTTAAGTCCAATACTGGTGAAAGGACCATTTCCTTCATTACACTTGAGGGCAGCAGGCTAGCATAGTGGGTTCTGAGCAGATCATGTGGCACTCACAACTCTGTCCTCTCCCTGCACTTCAGCATCTGCTGCCTGAGGCAGCTGCCTCACTCTGCCTCATCGCAGAGCCGGCCCTGGCACATATGCAGTAGGTAAGTCCCCATTGAGGAGTCTAGACCATCTGCTTTTCAAACCAAACCAGATAAAACCTTTACAAATGTGAGTGGTAGAATGAGAGCAGAGGGGACATGTATCTAAAATTGGTCTACTACCTCTATTTTAATCAAGTAGCATGAAATATTTGGATAAAGAAGTGGGCTGCATATTTAGTAAATTTACAGGAGAAACGGAATTGTGAAGAGCTGCATAAACTTTAGAACATGTGTCCTTCAGATGTTATTGGACCCCAACTCCCATAATCCCCAGCTAGCATGGCCAAAGATCAGGGATAGTAGGAGGAAAAATCTAGGAATTTCTGGAGGACTACAGGCCAGCCATCCCTGCTCTACAAGATAGCTGACATTTTTTATTTAAAAAATCTTAATTAAACTGGGCAGTAAACAATTGAATGGACTTTCACAATTAAAATATGAAATGTTTTGCCTAGCAATGAAAAACCAAATGCAAAAGTGCCATGCAGTTAACAATTTGTAGCTTGTTATTTCTTAACGTATTTTCATACTCGGATGGGAGTGACTCATCACCCTGCATTCTTAAACTAATGCGAGAAAAGTCTGTTCTGCCTGCCACAGAAGTATGGATCAGAGGCCAAGACCTGCTTTTCTGCCAGGTTGGGTATGATCTCAGGAATGCCAGCCATTGTGTTTGCTTTTTTGGTGACCCTGTTCACACAAAACTGCCCTGGGCATGGGATATGATAGGAGACCATCTTATCTCTGCACGAAGAATGGTTGAAACTGGTTCTGTGTCCCAAGGAAGCAATTGCCACATGCAGTTGGTGCTGCCACAGTCACTGACCCCGTTCTCAGCCAGAAGTAGAAGGCACAGTGTCCTGCCCAAGGCAACATTGGAAGTCCGTGGCAGAGCCAGGAATTGCATCCAGATTTCCCAGTTCAGCAGTACAATCTTACAGTGAGGGGGGAAAGTATTTGATGCCCTGCTAAATTTGCCAATTTGCCCTCTGACGAAGAAATGACTTTTCTGTTAGACAATCTCTGACTTTTGTCTCCTGGGTTTCTGGGGTTTTTCCTGTTGTTATTCTGTCTCTCATGGCTACAATAAACCTACCATTAAAATTATGGACTGGTCCTTTCTTCGTCTGGGGGCAAACGGGCAAATTTAGCAGGGGATCAAATACTTCCCCCCACCCTCACTGTACTATTCTCCCATGTAAACAATGGAAATCCACTGAATCATTTGATTGGCCTTCTCTGTGCGGACCGAGTTGGACACAAATGCCTGGATCAGTCCCTACCGAGTGTTTATCCTTCATTAGCTAGTTCTTCCGAAGCAAGAGTAAGGAGGAGCACTACTGCTTACATGCTGCAGAAAAACCTCTTAACGCTTTTAATTGCCTCTGCAAATCCTGAGCGGATGGCATCCAAAATGCCCTGAAATGCTTTTCTATTCAGCGGTGGGGGGATTGAGGGTGGATGCAAAAGGGAATATTTCCCCAACCTGCGCAGACGCTGCAGATTTCTTGCCTCGGAGCCCAGTGTGGTTGGAATGATATTTTCGCTCATGAGTGTGTGTGTGTGTGTGTGTGTGTGTTTTAATTCATTTCCCAAAGAAGATGTAATGTCTTCACAGAGCACTTGACTCCTACATCTGTGTCTGCAATATGGCGTCCTGGCACATCTGTTGGAGCTGAGGCTTGTACTACAAATACAGCCGGCTCCGGCCATCTGGAGTGTGGTTTCCTCCCCCCTCACACACACACACACACCTCCTCTTCTTGCCCGGTGGGTCTCAGGGAGAAGAGATAGATCCATCCCAGGGATAACTGGAGGCATATGGATGTTACTTAAGATGAGCGCCTGGCGCCAGCAGCCACGGCTCTCGCAAGAAGCTTTCGGCAGGTTGGTTGCGTCTATGCCCAGCAGAGCCCTTGCACAAAACACAGCAAACACATGTGCCTGCATGAAAGCACATGGACTTAGATGGCAGGCTTACAGCCATATGCATGTGAGCCATCTGAAATTGTGAATGCACCTGCGTGCAGGGACAGACGTTGCATCAGTAAGCCAATTCACTTTTTAAGTTGTCTGCTACAGTATACTGGGTCATCGCTGTGCCCCAGATTCCCATTGCTGCTCTCCTGGAGCACCCTTAATTGTACATGCAATTAAAACTAACGCATCATGTAGCAGAATGTGTGGTGATGTTAAGGAAGGTAGGAGAGGCTATCTTGTTTTGATATTATCCCTCCTCACTCACGCTAGTGAGTAAACAGCAGAGCATATTCCCTTTGCTACTTATTGGAAGCAAGTTGGTGATTCATTAGAATCCTTTAATTAAGCAATCCAGTCTGGCCTTTCCAGTCTGGATTGTTCCTGGTAAGTTTTCCCTTTATTTCCCTCTTAAAATAATAATAAGACAACACGGTCTTATTTAAAAGTAAGAATCAAGTTTTACTTACATTCAGTTCACAGTGATAATCTGAAGGCAGGCTTTATCTTGTGTTTACAGTGAAGCGAAGTCTGAGATACATCCCAGACTTTCTGCTTGTGGTCTCCACCCTATGTGAAGGTTGACCCATGCGCTGGCTAAGAGCCAGGAGAGCGAGAGTCCAAGAGTGAGACTAAGAAAGTAAGAGTCCAAGAGAGAGGTGGTTGCGTGGCCAACCCTTTTATCTGGTCAGTTAGGGTCACGGACATCTGCCTGGTCACACACTCAGGGGGAGGAAGCTCCAGAGCAGGTATGACAGGAAGTCCTCCCTGTCTGGAGCCACATTCCCGTGTGTCCATTCTAGGCAACAGGAAAATGTTGTACAGTTATACCTTGGGTTACAGACACTTCAGGTTGTGCATTTTTGGGTTGCGCACCGCGCCGACCCCAGAGGTACCGGAACAGGTTACTTCCAGGTTTTGGCGCTCGCGCATGCGCAGAAACACTACATTGCGTTTTGCGCATGCACAGAAGCGCCGAATCGCGACCTGCACATGTGCAGACATGGTGCTGCGGGTTGCGAAACTGCCTCCCATACGGATCACGTTTGCAACCCGAGCGTCCACTGTACTAGTAATAATACATCCCACAGAATGCAGATTTGCATACAGTGAGGGGCTGCATACACATAATTAAAAGGGCTCACATATATACACATAGGCAAACGTGTAGATCCCACCTGCTGGGATAGTTCAGTCGGTAGAGCACGAAACTCTTAATCTCAGGGTTGTGGGTTTGAGCCCCGTGTTGGGCAAAAGATTCCTGCATGGCAGGGGGTTGGACTAGATAATCCTCAGGGTCCCCTACAGGTCTCATATTGGGGCTGCAGGCAACATAGGAGGACATAAGTACCTTAGTCACTGCACGAACATGGTGGCTTGTCAGATGGGCGCTGCTGCCTTAGTCTCCACAGTACTTCCACTTCACCCTCTGATTAGAGGGTGCTATATATATATATTACCATCAGTGGGCAGCAGCAGCTTGCCAGCTTCTGGAGGGCCAAAAACGCCCTATACCTGTTTTTGCTTTTTGTTTTTTTAGCCCGGGGTTATTGCCTATTTACTCATCATAGGCTAAACCTAAGAGGCAGTGCTAAGCCATGAAGGTGATTAAAAGTTTGGCACCATGGCAGGTGATGCTATGAAAGAAGCCATGTGTATGTTTTGGTGCAGAGCAAGGAAGAATATGAGGCAAGACATTTGCCTTGCCTTAGGTAGGACTTGTTTGAACTCCCTATGATCAGAGATGGAACATATTGTTCTCTCACATTGTTCACAGGTCATCCTGTTCTCTCAGAGAGAGGTTTTGCTCCGTTGCAACAGATGTTGCAACAGATCCCTTCCAGGTTACATGCAGCTTTGAAACTCATTGCCATCCTAAGCAATTGCCTAGGTTGCTCTTCTACTCAGGCTGGATCCCACAGCTGACGCAATGGGGTTGGCGCACGTTTCCGAGCACAATTCAAAGTGTTGGTGCTGACCTTTAAAGCCCTAAACGGCCTCGGTCCAGTATACCTGAAGGAGCGTCTCCACCTCCATCGTTCAGCCTGGACACTGAGGTCCAGCGCCGAGGGCCTTCTGGCGGTTCCCTCACTGCAAGAAGCCAAGTTACGGGGAACCAGGCAGAGGGCCTTCTCGGTAGTGGCGCCCGCCCTGTGGAACGCCCTCCCACCAGTTGTCAAAGAGAAAAATAATTGCTAAACTTTTAGAAGACATCTAAAGGCAGCTCTGTTTAGGGAAGCTTTTAATGTTTAATAGGTTATTGTATTTTAGTGTTTTGTTGGAAGCTGCCCAGAGTGGCTGGGGGGACCCAGCCAGATGGGCAGGGTATAAATAATAAATTGTTGTTGTTGTCGTTGTTATGGTATCTTGGTGCTTGAGGTGGAAAAATCAAGATGTCACTCACCTTTCCACGAATGTGTTGGGAAGCATTCCTGTGGAGCTGTGAAAGTGCTGTGATCTTGAGTAACTAATAATTCCTACAGGTCAAGGATGGGGAACATGTGGACCTCTGTATATTGCTGGACTAAAACTGCCATCACCTCTGGCCATTAGCCATACTGACTGTGGCCCGTGGGAACAGGAATCCAACAACATTGGATGGTGACATAGTTCCTATCCTTGCAAAGAATAACTTCCCAACTGATCATGCGACTTGGGTGAAGAAGAAGAAGAAGAAGAAGAGGAGGAGGAGGAGGAAGAGGAAGAGGAGTTTGGATTTGATATCCTGCTTTATCACTACCCTAAGGAGTCTCAAAGCGGCTAACAATCTCCTTTCCTTTCCTCCCCCACAACCAACACTCTGTGAAGTGAGTGAGACTGAGAGACTTCAGAGAAGTGTGACCAGCCCAAGGTCACCCAGCAGCATAGCTGTCAACGTTTCCCTTTTTTAAAGGGAAATTCACTTATTCCAAATAGGATTTCTCGCAAGAAAAGGGAAAAGGTGACAGCTATGGCCAGCAGCTGCATGTGGAGGAGCGGGGACGCGAACCTGGTTCACCGGATTACGAGTGCACCCCTCTTAACCACTATACCACACTGGTGAGATTTGTCTGTCTTTTATTCTGCCACCTTTAAAGGCCCCAAAATCCATATTACCTTGCTTTGTGATATTGTAGTCTTTGTAATGCAGAAATGGCACCTCTAACATAAGTATTGCCTCCAATACTGTACTTATGGTGTTTTCACTGCTCCTTATGCACAGAGATCAGGCAGAGCGTCTGGAATATGTAACTTGCAACTCGTAATTCAAGGAAGCTCACACAAAGAGCTGAGCAGATGAGATATGGGAGATCCACTATTAGATTTCCTGACACCTTTTTCCTAAGCTTAAAAGCAGCTTGATGGGAATGGAACCACAGCGCAGGGTGCCGTTTTCCCAATATAAACCCCTCCACCTGACATATAGTTGCCTGTGGTTATATAATGCAGTTCCTGTACCTGCTGTAGTGTCTAATGGTGTAAGAAACCATTAAGTTCTGCTCTGTCACTCTTGGCTCTTCCAAGAGTGATGGAAGCATGAACATAGTATTTTGTGTGTCTACACACACACACGCGCGTAAAATAGATGGATAGATCAATATTATACATGTATGAAGTGGCATTAATGTGTATCAGGAATAGCTAATCTGGTGTCATCCAGACATTATTAGGCTACATCTCCCATCATTCCTAACCATTGGTGATGCTGGTCATTGCTGATGTGTGTCCAGCAACATTTGGGGGTCACCATTTTGGCTACCCCTGATGTGACTTGGTAAAATAAATTCAAACCATTCAAACAAATACTGACACTTGCCCGAGGAGGGGCTTAAAAGCTTATTCTGAACAATGAGAGAAACAACTCAAGAATAAAGTGGGAGAGCCAAGGTTTAGCAAAGGATAAATTTGAGCAAATGCAGTTGTAAGATTTTAAGAAGTTAGGCTTTGTTTCAGCCAGGGGTGAGGACTAAGGCTGTAATTAGATATTACAGCACACGTGAGCCTTCCACCAAGAGCAACAGCGCCACTTCTCCTCTTTCTTTCCTAATGTCTAGCAATAAAATAATAAAAAAGTGACATGATGAAATTATATTACGAGTTCCACCGCTTCCTTTCAGCTTATTGGCCCATTAGAGGGGCACTGGACAGGGAAATGTGCAGTGTGATATCACATCACATCACATATTTTATACTACAAAACACTGGGGAGGGGATGCAATGCTACTGGTTATAGTGGCACCCGTGTGCGTGTGCCATAATGTCTGTTTTTGGACTCAGGATTAAGCCAGACATGATCATCTGGGATAGCTCTGTCAGTAGAGCATGAGACTCCTAAACTCAGGGTTTCGGGGTTGTGGGTTCAAGCCCCATGATGGGCAAAAGATTCCTGCGTTGCAGAGAGTTGTACTAGATGACTCCCTTGCTCCCTTCCAACTCTACAGTTCTATGATTCTGTGCTGCAAATAGGTTTTGACACAGGACCCCCCAGGGGTGAGACAGAGCAGTGGAATTTGAAGCAAGATCCGCAAAGCAGTTGTGTTCTAGGAATGAAATAGCCAGCATTTGCTTCTGCTGTAAAAAAAATGTGGGAATGTTCACGGTGGCAGGAGAGGATATATTGTTTATTAATATCCTTTTTGAGGGATGTGGGTGGCGCTGTGGGTTAAACCACTGAGCCTAGGGCTTGCTGATCAGAAGGTCGGCGGTTCGAATCCCTGCGATGGGGTGAGCTCCCGTTGCTCGGTCCCTGGTTCTGCCAACCTAGCAGTTTGAAAGCACATCAAAGTGCAAGTAGATAAATAGGTACCGCTCCAGCGGGAAGGTAAACGGCATTTCCGTGCGCTGCTCTGGTTCGCCAGAAGCGGCTTAGTCATGCTGGCCACATGACCTGGAAGCTGTATGCCGGCTCCCTCGGCCAATAAAGCAAGATAAGCGCCGCAACCCCAGAGTCAGTCATGACTGGACTTAATGGTCAGGGGTCCTTTAATATCCTTTTTAACTTGCGCTAGCAAGTTCCTTTACTTAGCAGAGTGCATTCCCCTTTACACAGCAGAAAACTTGTTGCAAACTCATGCGAGTTTCTTGAGACAATACCCAATTTAGTCTGGCTTTTCCAGATTGAAATGTGTTCTAATATTTTCCTGGTAAGACCCCTTGAATCCTTCCTAAAAGAATAAAGACGCCACAATCTTATTCATAAGCAATAAAAAGAAAGTTTACTCACGATCAGGCAGAGCATAGTTTGATTCCCTGAAGGCAGGCTTAAGGCTTAAAGTTACAAACATGTACAAACAGGTTTACCCCATATGTGGGTTGACCTAATGACTGCAGTTAGCAGTCTGAGAAGTTCTCAGAACGAAAGGAAGATGGAAAAGAGAGAGTGGCCAGTGGCAGAGTTAGCTGCATGGGTGCCCAGAGTGGTGGCCATGATGTGCACCCCTGCAGTGTGCCTTTTTGTCACACACCCACCCACACTCCAGGATGACACCCGGGGCGGCCCGCCACCACCGCCCCCCTTCCTACGCCCCTGAGAGTGGCAGCATGCATTGGCCTTTTACCAGGTCTGGAAAGGTCACGCCCACCCACTAGTCACATGTAAGGAAGGATGCTCCAGGCCAGGAGGAACAGGTAGTTTGACTGGCTGGACCAAACATTCTCCTGCATGTCCACTCTAGCAAAACAAGGAATGTTGTACTTGACTGCTCCCAGTGGATTACATCCGACAAAAATTAACAAATGCTCTAGATGAATGAGTGCATGGGTGCAACTCGCCACTGAAAAGTAAGAGAGAAACTAAAGGGCTTCAGTAATGAAGGCGTTAAGCTGGTCAGTTCTTTCCAGACTGTTTCAGGCGAGTTTCTGCCTCTTGTATTAGGGACGAGCTTTTGCATGAGAAAACCAGGAAGGTGGAGGGCAAATGCAGATCATGGAACGCAGTGCAGACTGCATCTTTTCCTTCTTTTCCTCCCAGATCAGCAGAGAGGAGACAGCGATTCTACTTGGCTGGGCATTTAACGTAGCATTAGCCTTATGTGCCTCAGCATCACACCGTTGGCTCATACTCAATTTCTTACTCTCCATAACTCCTATATCTTTTATGGAAGCAATGTTGCCGCTTCTGACAATATATTTGCTTCATTTTCCCTGCACATGGCTTTTACATTTGTCCTTGTTGATTCATTCTGCTGCTGCCTACCCAGCTAACCTGTTTGTTAAGACTATTCTGAATGCTTCGGGTTTTAATCCTTTCCAATTCTGAATCTACTGCAGATCTGAGAGGTGTCCTTTCTCATCCAAATCCATTATGGGGATATTAAATTACAATTGCAAAGTTACACCCAAACTGTGCATATAGCTGTTTTGGTGGTGGTGTGCTTTGCTGCCGAGGCTGTTTTGTCTGAGCTATATGTGGAAATGGAAGTAGAGCAATGGGAGAAATGTAGAAAAAGTTAAAATGGAAAATTGCAATTCCACTTTTGATAGATCAGTCAGGGCTAAACATCAGTTCATGTTTTCTTTTGCTCTGTTATTGGCAGAGCAGCAACATGGGGAGGAAAAACAAACCAGTAAAACAGGTATTTTGGGGAGGCAATAGCCAAATTCCTATTTGGTTGTTTCAAAAATTCCTTACCATTGATTAAGGCACCTGTCCTATCCACTATCAATTCAGTTTCTAGGGATTAAATGGCACATCCTGATATGCTGAAGAGAATCATCATAGCAAGACATGGGTGGGTCAGTCAAGATCAGCCTCCCAATCCCTGACCTGTTCTGGAAGAGACTGGCTTATAAACCAGCACTCACCCCAGTACCAATTCAGGGCAAGGCTGTAGGCCACAATCCAGCATGTCATTCTGGATCCCAGTGAAATAAACTCTGGGCTGGATTGTAGCCATGATGTACAGAAACACTTGGACAGTAGCTGAATCTGAAGCTGGTTTGAAGGGCAGAAGATAGGCCTGGTGAGTATAGGCAGTGAAGACAGCTTCACTAAATAGGAGCTGGGAGGGGAAGGGTTGCGGAAATGGGGGAAGCAAATCAGGTAATGCACATCAGGTGAAGACACCTCCTTCTTCCCTCTGGTGAGTAAAGCAACGGGGGGGGGGGGAAAGCAACTTGAAATACAGCAAGGGGAAATTACCTCTCTGCATTTTAAGCCACTAATGTGTATGTACATACCCAAAATTCAGCAGTAGAGAGCATTCTCTGCATCCATGTCTTGCATCCATTCTCTCTCTCTCTCTCTCTCTCTCTCTCTCACACACACACACACACACCCCTCAAATGAGGCCACCAGGGGTTATTTGTTTTGGAGGGCCAACCACAAAAGTAAGAATTCTGATGTACAAATATCCCTGTGTGTCTTCTGAACCAGTGGATCAATTCCTGGAAACTCCGGATGGTGTGCTGGTGATGTAGACTTTGGAAAGAATCAAGGATCTGCATCTGGATGTATAAATTTACACAGAGCAAATTAATAACGTTGTACTGGAGCAAACCCAACACTTTTCTCTTTTCATTAATGCAACAGAGCATAAGGTTTGCCAGTGATCCCTTAAGTCATAGAAGTACCCATTATATTAACACTAGGATTCACTAAGCAGGCCATGGACCATAATCTTGAGCCACAAGTAGGTCCTTTGCTTTAAAGGTGACACCCCTGTAGGTCCTAGGAAGCATCTCATACTCTGCACCCCTTCAAAAGCCTATGCAGATCAGATATCTGTAAAGGTAAAGGGACCCCTGACCATTAGGTCCAGTCGTGGCTGACTCTGGGGTTGCAGTGCTCATCTTGCGTTATTGGCCAAGGGAGCCGGTATACAGCTTCCAGGTCATGTGGCCAGCATGACTAAGCCTCTTCTAGTGAACAAAAGCAGCGCACAGAAACACTGTTTACCTTCCCACCGGAGCGGTACCTATTTATCTACTTGCACTTTGACATCCTTTCGAACTGCTAGGTTGGCAGGAGCAGGGACCGAGCAATGGGAGCTCACCCCGTCGCAGGGATTCGAACCGCCGACCTTCTGATCGGCAAGTCCTAGGCTCTGCGGTTTAACCCACAGTGCCACCCGCGTCCCAGATATCTGTAAGTGGTAATAATAACCCCTTTTCTCACTTTCCCCCAGTTCTTTCTCCACCATAGGAAGACGGCATTAATATTGGCTTTGCGAGACCTCCCACTGCTTCAGAGCTAAGCAGTTCTGGAGGTACCTATGAAGGCACCTTCATTCGTTGTCTGAAGATGCAAAAGAGCCCTGGAGAACAGGCAGAAATGGGAAGAAGGTGGAATGGGGGAAGGAGATTTTGCCCATCTACTTTGACTAAGGGCTTGTCCACATTTCTGCTTGTCCTGTGCCTAGAAAGCACAGGTTGGAGCAGTTTTCCCCTTGCCCTGCTCCTTCGTGCTAAATCGGAGCAAACATCAATCCAGAGAAAAGCCCAAATTGCCATTTTCCCCCAGTTAAATTCAGGAAAAATCACACTTAAGTAGCAGGACATGAAGAAATGTAGATAAGCCCTAACAAGTCACTCCCTGGCTCAAAGCTCTGATAACCCGTAAGCGACCTTTTCACTGATCATTTTGTTTCTAGATTCATAGACTTGGAATGGTTCTTGACAATTGTCTCTAATCTGACCCTCTGCTTGATACAGGGGGAAGGAATTCAACGTTAAGTGGACACAGTACAACAGATGCAGCCCAGACAACGCAGAACAGCGTGAAACTATTACTTCTCGTGACCTGGACACTATGCATTTGCATACCTTGGCTAGGACTGATGGGAGTTGTAGTCCAATTCACCAGGAGCGCATCAGATTGGTGAAAGCTGCCCTGGTGCCAAAAATAAATAAATCCATTTTAACAAATCCTAACATTTTGCAGTTAGGAAAGTGATTGGGAAATGCATTGAAAAGGACAGAGTGGATGAGTGGTTAATGGGAACACCCCACAAGCAAGTCAAGATGGCTCCTTGGTGAATGTTCATTGTTGTATAACCACTCCATAAACAAATCAGAAAGAAGAAAGACTGGGTTTAATCTAACCTCTGCCTTAGCATTCTGCAAGCAAAACAGGATAAATAGGTCACCTGCAGGAGCCTCTGGTTGGAACTCCTCATAAAACCAGATGGTGCTCCAGAACTTCTAAGGCCTTAGGGAACAGGGGCCAGTGGGCTAGCAAGGAAAATGGATTATCTGTCTGCTCTCACCTTTGTCTGCTCCTTACCTTTGTTGATAGCAGTGTCATTCTTTCGAGATTCCATATATATTAACCAGAAAAGAAACGGGTTCCACGCTGCAGTCTTTACACCAATGGCTTACACCATTCTGCGATGAGAATCTGTCCCCGTTGGAAGCACTTAATAATAAATCTCGCGCCAAACATATGGCCCATCACGATTGTTCAGTCATTAACTGCCCTCATAGCTGGACACAATTTCTGCTAATGAAGCACTAATAAATGAGTGTGCTGATTGTTTTACCTGTTACTGCCACTATTATGAAAATGAAAAGGCCCTAGTGATTTTGAGAGTGAATTTGTACATCAGGTAAAAGTTGTTGCAATAGAAAGAGCTCAAGCTTGGGCAAAGCTGAAGGGTGTTTTGCACCACTGAGCCGCAGAATAGGGCGCGCTTTCTTCACCACATTGGCCCTATCCATTCCAGAGTGCAACTAGAAGCACTCAGCATTTCTGCAAAGCAAAGACATCTGTAATTCTCTTCTCGTTTGGCAGATGACCATTTACACGAGGAATGTGGAAATAAAAGATCGCTGTCTGGTTCAGTGTTGTTCAGGCAAAAATTAAAAGATAAAATTGCTTGCATGTATGGGGATAATAGGGACGCGGGTGGCGCTGTGGGTTAAACCACAGAGCCTAGGACTTGCCGATCAGAAGGTTGGCGGTTCGAATCCCCGTGATGGGGTGAGCTCCCGTTGCTCGGTCCCTGCTCCTGCCCACCTAGCAGTTCGAAAGCACGTCAAAGTGCAAGCAGATAAATAGGTACCGCTCCAGCAGGAAGGTAAACGGCGTTTCCGTGCGCTGCTCTGGTTTGCCAGAAGCGGCTTAGTCATGCTGGCCACATGACCCGGAAGCTGTACGCTGGCTCCCTCGGCCAATAAAGCGAGATGAGCGCCGCAACCCCTGAGTCAGCCACGACTGGACCTAATGGTCAGGAATACCTTTACCTTTACCTTTATGGGGATAATAGATGGGCAGCAGTGGCTTGACCCTAACAACAACAACAAAATGGCAAACTGGAGCAGAGCTGGCCAAAGACCTTTTTGGTGCAAGAGGCAGAAACCTCAAATTTCTCCTCTCCTGTTAATGAACCTGGGCTCACAATCTGCCAGAGAGTTCTCCTGTGCCAGTCCCACTGAAATGAAGAGGGGCTGTGCAAGAATGTGCTCTTATTTCTTTCCATGGGGTTTGCTGAGGGGAAAAACAACAACTCCGTGGGTCAGAACTGCCTGGCTCTCACACAGCTGTCATTCAAGCTAGTGATGCCCTTGATTTGGATGGTTATGGAAAGCGGGCTCATGTTCTTCCTGGATCCCTGGTCCCATGGGACTCCTGTGGTCCCATAAGAGAAGAGAAGGTATGTGAAGAGAGTTGGGGGGTGCGGTATTTGTTACAGCAGCAGTTTGGGGTGGTAGCCGCAATGGTGGTGGCATCTGCAGTGCTGCTGCGAGGCGAGATTCTCGTTCCACATAGCCAGCTCCGGGAAGGACTTGATGCGGCCTTCTCTATTTACAGATGTTTAGAAGCCTCAGATTGAAGCAACGCAAAGGCTGTTTGCAGACCAGCAGATGTTTTTTTGAGGAAAGAAAAGGGACAGATTCTTATCTCGGCCACGTTTTGGATCAATGCAGGTCAGGCATCCCCCTTAACATCCTGCCTCATTTCTGGCCGGGTCTTGATACACGACCTGGGGGTGGGTGCAGGAATGAAGCAGGCCTTTACGCGCGCATGTGTGTGTGTGTACACACACACACACACACACACACACACACTTCAGTGAACAGCCACAGATTGGGGGGGAGCAAGGGGGGTTAGAACTGGAAGCAGATGGTCACTTTGGCAGGGCGCCGGAAAAAAGAATCTGTTCCATACATCGCACACAGCAGTCTCGGCAGAGGCCTCTGCCAGGAAAAACAGAATTACCTCTCTGATTACAGCAAGCGGGCGCAAGCACTCTTCCTGTAACACTGGGCTTTGTGAGCCAGCCAGGCCAAATATGGGCTGCTTTGGTGTGTTTTTTTTAAAGTGCAAAATAAAGCAGTGGTGCTGCACAGCTCAGGCATGGCCTGTAGAAGAGAGATGGTTTTTTTCTTGCCCTCAGCTTCAGTACAGACCCTTTTCTAAAAAAGAAAAAGAGAAAGTTTCAGTACAAAGGGGTGAGCGTGATCCGTCGTCACCCCTCTTCCCTTTGCTTTAGTGCTACCCTCCCCAACACATACTTTTGTCCTTGGAGCAACAAGTCCCAATTTTCAAAAATAAAAATCTCTCTCAATCAAAGAAGACTTGATGTTACAAAAATACATTCAAGAGATTATTTATTATTAAATCCAGCTAACCACCATTTATGTGGGGCTTTGGGTCTGGTTTTGGAATGGAAAGTTCCTTTGTTGCTCTGATGGATGACCTCTTCCAAGAGCGAGTCACGGAGAGTGTGCTTCTTTTGGTTCTCTTGCACTTCTCAGCACATGGTATCCTTCTGGATAGTCTCTCTGGGTTGAGTTCTGGAGCCACAGTGTTGCAGTGGTTCGGCTCCTGCAAAGACGGCCAATTTTAGAAGGTGGTGCGGAGTTACCTCCTTGCAGTTAGGCTATGCAGTTCCTCAGGGAACTGCAGGTTTTATCCCCTGCTATTTAATACCGTATTTTTCTGTGTATAAGACGAGGGGTTTTTATTATTTAAAAATGTTAAAAATTGGGGGTCATCTTATACACGGATAGTGCAGAGGGGGGACAGGCGATTGGAGGCAGATGATTGGTGGCTTTGTCAATGCGTGCTATTGGCAGTGGCGGTTAGCTCAACAACTCTGCACATCCCCCCCAAAAAAAGCTTAACAACTTTGGGCAATCTCCCCCCATTTCCTTAATTTGGAGTCCCAAAAAATAGGGGTCGTCTTATACACTGAAAAATACGGTATCTATAGGAAAAGACTGGGAGAGATTAATCAAAGATGTAGACTTGACTGTCACCAATATGCAGATGGTACCCAACTCCATCCCTCAATTAAATACAATCGTGTAATGACTGTATATGAGATATATTTGTACAGTCAGACCTTGGGAGTCGAACGTTTTGGCTCCCAAACGCCGCAAACCCGGAAGTGAGTGTTCCGGTTTGCGAACGTTCTTTGGAAGCTGAACGTCTGACACTGCTTATGTGGCTTCCAATTATGTGCAGGAAGCTCCTGCAGTCTATCGAAAGCCGTGTCTTGGTTGTCGAACATTTTCGGAAGTCAAACGGACTTCTAGAATAGATGCCGTTCAACAACCAAGGTACGACTGTATTGCTAAAGGGGTTTGGGAAATTGCATGGACACTAAGAAGAGCTCTCTGAGTACCTGATGGGTTGATAATTAACTGTGCATGTGTCTCTGCTATCTCTCACGTTGTATCTAACCTAGATCACATGACATTCAGTTGCAAATCTCCATATTGGGTGTGTGAGTTGCTCTTTGTCTCTCAAGCCACTGAAGACAAAGGTGCGCATACATGTGTCCCCTGGAGAAAACCGTCTCGGGCTGGAATGCAGGCTAATGAACTTAGTGGGAGATGCAGCTCTGATTATCATACTTCACATTGGTAATACGATGTACAACTGGGAGTCGCCATGGATTCCCCATTTCTACAAAAAGGCCTTATGGGTCTTCCATCAGAAAAAAAGATATTGAAGAAGAAGAAGAGTTTGGATTTGATATCCCGCTTTATCACTACCCGAAGGAGTCTCAAAGGGGCTAACATTCTCCTTTCCCTTCCTCCCCCACAACAAACACTCTGTGAGGTGAGTGGGGCTGAGAGACTTCAGAGAAGTGTTACTGGCCCAAGGTCACCCAGCAGCTGCAAGTGGAGGAGCAGGGGAAGTGAACCCGGTTCACCAGATTATGAGTCTACTGCTCTTAACCACTACACCACAGTGGATATTGAGTGAGGCCAGAGGCGCCAGCTTCTCCAGAATTGAGGGGGCCTGGCCCCCTTAAAAAAAAAAAGATTGGGAGCCATTGTGCCTCTGCCAACAGGAGCCGGCACCTTTGAGTGAGGCTCAGCCCTTGCTTAATACAATTGAGCAGCTTCACTAGTGGAGGGTGGCTCTGCCAGACAAGAGACCCAAGTAGGCTCTATGCTATCATACCCTCCATGTGTCCCTATTTTCCAGTGATAATTCCGGAATTATGAACCCTCCCCCTCCCATTGACTTCTGATTTGATACTGGAACGTCCCCATTTCCCCTGCCAGTGCTGCCGCTGCCGAGCTCAGGGACAATGATGAGCCGGCGCTTGTCCCAGGCAGCAGCAGTGAAGGACCATCCTATTGCCTCTCTGTAGTCTCTCCATGGCCGCTGCTGCAGGCCTCCTCCCTTGGGCAGCTCATAGCGCTTGCTGGAGAGCAGGCGATGAGGGAAAAGAGGTTGCCACCACCAAGGGGCAGTCAGAAGGCAGGGCTGCCCTGGGCAGGATGAAAGGAGGAGCAGAGGGGAGTGCAAGGAGTCTTTTATTTATTTATTTATTTAACTGTGTGTCTTGTCCCTTTATAAAATTTATGGGTGTGTGTTTTTCTTTTTGTAAATCAGAATTAAGGGGTTCTCTCAGGACAGTGGAGGTCACATGTGTTGTGTCCCATTGGTGTGTAGTGTTTAGTGGCAATCACCCTTCTTCTGATAGGAAATGCTTGGGGTGGAGGCAAGAAATGGGGGTCGAGGAGGGTCAGTTGTGTGGGAGTGAGAAATGACCCTTTTTTCATCAGAGGGATGTTGGCGGGGGGTTATGCACTATCACAAGTGTCCTCCCTGGCGTTCCAGCCACTTTGGGATATATTTGTCTGGCAGGACATTAGGATTTACTTTTCTGGAACGCTTTGCTCCCAGACATTTTGGAGGGCGATATAATCAGAGACCCTTTTGTATTCTCTTGATCGTGAGTTGATGTTTAGGGAGTTTGTCCTGAGCAGGACCCAGCAGCTGAGAAGGAGGAGAAAGGAAATATGCTAAGGATGTGAACAGAGCCGTCTTACCCATAGGCACTAGGGGTGCAGGGCACCTTGGCGCCGGACTCTCAGGGGCACCAGGCCAAGAGTCCGGGGCCTGAGAGTTGAGTCCAGGGAAGAACCTGCCCGTTGGCTCTGCGCCGTGAGTTCGGGGGCGACCGAGCCAGCGAGATGCTGACGCTTGCTCCTCCCTCCTGCGCGCCTGGGACTGCACCCCGGTGCTGCATATGTTTAAGACAGCCCTGGATGTGAATGAATTTTATGAATAAAGGTCTCCTTAAGCATTATTTGAATCCATTCTTCATGAACAAAGGGGGAAATACAGAACACACTTTGGAGTATCTTCCTTCAAGGGTCTAACAAAGCAACTACCAAACAGGTAGTATTATATCTGAATGTTGCAAAACCACTTAGACCTGCTGCGATTGTTAGCTACTAACTTGTCAGCTTTGTTCTCCTGAGGCTGTAGGTTTCTATTTGTTTTTTAATACTACTTTTTTTAATGGCTGGTTGGCCATAATAAATATTTGGTTTATATTGATGGGTCTGAAATGGGACTATATTCAAACAAGCCATCTGGAAATTACCTTCGTTTATTAAGTTGCAAGCAACTTGCATCATACAACGAAATTTCGGTTCCAAGGGTTACATGTATACATGGAAATTGCACAGAACCAAAATTACCTTTGGAGCCACCTTGCGGATAGCTAGCCTGCCATCTATAAGGCAGCCGGTAATGGGGAGAATCAGTTGACCTGGCATGAAAATAGCTTTAAATATCTTGGCCTTTCTTTCTAGACCAGTCCTACTTCAGTGTCTGTGCAGAGTGCAATGGCTCTGGGAATGGTGGGGTGGTTCTTGTGAGATCTTGCGGGAAGTCGGATTTCCCGTGGGATCTCATAAGAGCATCCACACCATTCCCAGATCCACTATGCCACTGGCTAAAGGTGCCCTGCACTCAAGGTGCTCCACGTGGGATTTGTCCAGGGAAAAAGGCTGAGAGCGTAAGCTCTTTTTTGTGCCAGATTTACTTGGGGTTTCCACCTTGCACCCACCTCTAATCCTTGCCCTCGCTAGCCTGCCTTCAGCCGCTGTGGCTGAAATCACAACATCAGACTCTCCAAGTGTCCCTATTTTCCAGGGGCAGTCCCAGATTTACAAAAGCCGTCCCAGTTTCTGATTTGATCCCGGAATGTCCCGCTTTTCCTTAGGGTGTCCCGATTTTCATATGGGGGATATGGAGTTCTGTGACCCCTGAGCCAAGAAGATAAGTAACTAGACAACCTTTAGAAGAGACCTGAAGGCAGTCCTGTATAGGGAAGCTTTTAAATGTTTAATGTTTTATTATGTTTTTCTATTTGTTGAAAGGTGCCCAGAGTCAGATGGGCGGGGTATTATTATTATTATTATTATTATTATTATTATTATTATTATTTACATCCCTATTTTCACCAGAGAAATGTTGGTGGGTATGTCACATACAGTCAATGCACATAAAATGCAAGTTTGCTGTACGTGATATTTGTAACTACTTTCCTTCTGATTTGTTCATTTAGCTTGGTTTATGGCTAAGGTTTTTTTTTTCTTTTCTTTGGTCTATTTGATCTTTGTTAATACACAACGATTGTTTACATCAATTAGAACAGGAAGGGCAATATAAGTCTGCTTCCCACGAAGCTGCAATACGTGAATGTGAAGTTGTTCTCGCCACGTTTGCGAAGACCCCATTAGAATAACACAAAGGGGTTTTGTTATATTTCTCTTTGTTCTTTTATAGCTTTGCACTTTGTAATCTGTGACTTTGCCGTTTTAACCTGTTACTCTGACATCTAAATTGAAAAGCTGTCAGCCTTTATAGCAGGCATAGCTGTGTGGAAGTTTCAAAATAACACATTGCTAAGTCACACATTACAAACTGCAGAGTCATGAATAATGAACTGAGAAATCTTGACTAATCAACCTCAAAAATGAACCGAACTGCCAAATAAAGAAGAAAGATGTTCTGTGAAAAGGAAACTCCCAAATACTTTTAAGGTTAATACCAACTAAAAATGGTGCATTATTATTGCTGCTTCTGTTGTTGTTATTGTTGTTATTTAATAATGTTATTAATGGATATATTGGCTGTGAGCCCTGGAAGACCTGTTCCCTGCCTTGCAGCCTTTTCCACCTGGCTTGGGAGTGTGGGGCCCAGACTGACTCCAGCTACAAAAGCTGAGGCTGTTGAACAGACACTTGGGCTGGGGTATTATTTGGGGGGTTTTGTCGGGGGTGGGGGATGTTGCTGTTGGCCTTTTGTATATTTTAGATCTTGTGATTTATGCAGAAATCGTTCCATTTGCCTGTGTATTCTCTGATGTTTTATTTATTGCTTACGACTACTTTTGTAACTTGCAGTTATGCTTTTTTGCACGTTGTAAGCAGCCTTGAGCAAGTTTTGAACTGTGGAAAGGCAGCATACAAATAAAATTATGTATGCATGTATGTATGTATATTTATTTATATACCACTTAATTGCCAAGATGGTTTCTGTGTACACAATAAACCAATTTCATCAAAACATTAAATTTAACATTCACAAATAAAATGTACCATAAAACTAGCCATTAAAAAAACAATTTAAAGATTTAAAATAGCAGATTAAAGCATTTTAAAACAGTAGGTTCAAGTCAAGAGATCAGGGGAATCCTTGTGTAAACAGGAACGTCTTCAAGAGATGGTGCGATGCCAATAAGGTTAGCCTTGCATGGGCTTCTGCTCGTGGGAACAGTTAATTGAATAGAAACACCAACAATGTTATTCATTTATTTTAAAATATGTGTATGCCACCTGTCATGTGATCATATCTAGGCATCTACAAATAAATTATTATTAAGCATTATTATTATTTGTTCTATCCCAGTTTTCTTCTGGGATATTCATTTTTAGAATTACTTTGATATTAAAGTTCCTAAGGACTACTTCCACTTGGTCAAAATGAACCTTGATTCGCTATAATGCCTACGGGGGGGCCCCAAAGGGATTCTGATTCCCCTTAACTTTATAATGGCCCCTTTACTTACCACTGTTTACTGGGTTTGGCTAGAACAGAGCAATTGGGGTGGCTTTCATTAAAGAGCCCCCCCTACTCCCCCAACTCCCATGATTCACATGCTGACTCAGTTGTTTCACGAATATAAATGGACCTTGATAGATGGAAGCCACGGGTGTTCAGGCTCTTCAGGGAAGTAAATATAATTAAAATTAATATTCACCCTCTCACACTTCGTCTGCACCCTCAGGGATGTACGGCATCGCATATTGCACTCAAACTAAATACCATCCTTCCCAGCTTCTCATTGAGTGGTACCAATAATATTCCCTGAAGAAACTGCACCTTCTGCATGAAGGTTTTTAATTTTCTTTGCATTGCCTCATACTATAGAGTTTCCCTAGTATCCCATGCCCTAAAGGGGAAACTTCACCCTACTGAGCAACTGCTACAAGGGCAGCAAGGCTAGCTCTGCCAGAAGCTGACAGATCCGTGTGGAGCTCCTCGTGAGGTGGGGCATGCAACTTATGGGTGGCTGCTTCACAGTAAAACATCTTCAGGCCCTGGACTAACTTTGCCCACACAGAGTGAGATCTTTGGATCCTTCCATGTAGAAAAGAGCAGAAAGGGTTTATTAAATAGTGGGTGGACATAGCAGACGACACAGAGATTTCTCCAAGTACAGTGGTACCTCGGGTTACAGACGCTTCAGGTTACAGACTCTGCTAACCCAGAAATAGTACCTTGGGTTAAGAACTTTGCTTCAGGATGAGAACATAAATTGTGTGGTGGCGGCACAGCGGCAGCAGGAGGCCCCATTAGCTAAAGTGGTGCCTCAGGTTAAGAACAGTTTCAGGTTAAGAACAGACCTCCAGAACAAATTAAGTTCTTAACCCAAGGTACCACTGTAGTTCTTTATAAGTAAGCTGGAACTGAACTGAACAGCAAACAGCTCAGCCGGCCTGCTTTTATAGGCAGCCAGCTGTCAACATTGTAACAAGAAGAACCCAGGGTTTCTTGCCTAAATTAACTGACGTGGACCTGAGTGAAAACTATATACATGATACCCCTGGTGGCCAGGGTGAGAACTTCAATACATAACAGAGTTTCCTGTTCCAGCTGAGCCTTGCTTAAGTAACAAAGTCTTCCTGAGCGTCAGTGCATTCTGGCATTCTTTGGCCCTAACTTGCGGCTTGCTCCTTGACTCAGTCTCCTGGCTCTGGCTTCTTCCGTCTCGACTACAGGCTGCTCTTAGCTCCCACCTCACCAGTGACTGCTACTCGCTGCCACCCAGTCGTAACTTTGTCTCGTGCAGCTGATCTTGGGTGTCGTGAAAGGGCAATATATATATATATTATTTCTGTTATTATTATTACTGCCAGAGAAAGGCACCTGTGGGGTTTTCTCCCCTGCGTACCAAAACTGTCATTGAAAGTCTACTCAATATTGATCCAGAGTAGATTCCAATGTATAGTTAGCAGAGTAAAAACTTAAACACGTTGCAGGATTCTCAAAAGTAGACCGGAGGCAATATTTCATCCAGCAGAGCTTTACTGCTACTGAAGGCAAATGAGCATAATGGTCACAAATCCAATACATCCAAGACTGGCACCGTCCATAAGAAATCCAGTTGCAGCAGACTTAACAAACTTACAACTTAATTAAAACTTAACACTATATACCATGGGTAGGCAAACTAAGGCCCGGGGACCGGATGTGGCCCAATTGCCTTCTAAATCCGGCCTGCGGATGGTCCAGGAATCAGCATGTTTTTACATGAGTAGAATGTGTCCTTTTATTTAAAAAGCATCTCTGGGTTATTTGTGGGCCCTGCCTGATGTTTTTACCTGAGTAGAATGTGTGCTTTTATTTAAAATGCATCTCTGGGTTATTTGTGGGGCATAGGAATTCATTCTTTCCCCAAAAAAAATATAGTCGGCCCCCCCCCACAAGGTCTGAGGGACAGTGGACCGGCCCCCTGCTGAAAAAGTTTGCTGACCCCTGCTGTATACAGTACACTGGGACGAAAGAGAGACAGAAAGAGAAAGTGAGTGAAACTTGAGCAACCTCTTGGGTATTATGCACCTTTACTGGGGAATGAGATACTGCCATTTGCCGCTCCATCTTTGGCAACAATACATTGTAGACTGACCCTGATGCGTGCTACTGGAGACTCATTAACAATACTTGCATTGTGGGTGGATAGCTCTTTGTTCCACTCATATAACATTCACCGAAAACAGGGCCAGCCCTACCATTAGGCAGTTGCTTCAGGTGGCAGACACCGCAGGGAGATGCTGGAGAACAGAGCTGTGTTGTACCTCCTAAGATAACCTGTTTACCTGTAGGAGGTGTTGTCTTGCCAGCATCCAAGTCCATTTCAGCTCCCAGTCCAATTGGCTTCTGTGGAGCCATATGTGGAATATGAGTGAGGAGGCACAACCTGGTCTTTCACCTGGGGCAATGAAATAGGTCAGTCCTGTCAACTAATAATCTGACCACAATTGTGGGAGCCAGAGAGGCCCCCCCTCCAATTTCCTTCCACTTTTTCTTACCATATTATTGCTACTCGGTGGTCTTACTTGTTGAAGACTTCACTCTTTATGTTAAAATTACTGGATTCTTCCTATATTAGTTTAAGGGTGGGGTGGGGAATAAATAAAGAAGTTCCTTTTTAAAGCATCGGCCAGCATGTTTCCAGTAAAAGTGCCATGTTGGCATAGCTGTCCACTGTTCCCTTTTTTAAAGGGAAATTCCCTTATTCCGAATAGGATTCCTCGCAAGAAAAGGGAAAAGTTGACAGCTATGCCTGTTGGCCAGTTTGATACTTCTCTTCCTGCTTCTATTATGGGGGTGTCACTTTTTTACTAGATAGGCTGTGCGTTTTGGGATATGAACACTTTGATCTGGTGCTCCCGTGACTGCTGTTCATAGCCATGTTGCCGTCATTATACAACTCAATGTCGCCGCATATTTCCTTTAGATAAAAAATAAAAAACTGTACAGTTAACATCCTAGGTGGCTATCTGCCTCCCTGCTGCGCATCTCGATTGTGAGATGGTGAGGACGATTATTTTCTGTACAAAAAGCAGCAGCGCTCCCTCCCACTCTCTAACCTGCCCTCCTGTCATTTTAGGAGCCTTTACATTTTTATTTTTAAACATCCTTCTTGGCTATGTGCTTCCCATTTTTAAAAATAACCGTTAAAGGAAAGAAGTAAAGAAAACTGGGAGTTAGAGGACATAAAAACAGCGAACAGACAAGCTGGAGACAGTCACTGTACTTCCTATTTTTAAACAAGAACATTTGTGAATAGCTGCGTGGTTTAGCGGCGGTTGGGGCATCCCTTTCTCTCCCCCCCCCCCCGAAAACACAGAGAGAGGCTCTCAAATCTCTTATTTCGGGACAGACCTCACCATTCATCAGTGCATTCTGGCTCTATATGAAACATCTTTTCCGTATTGTGAAGGCAATGTCACACTTTGCTTTACGCACAGAGCGGTTTCCTTTCACCTACAGCCCTGTTCGCCATGTTCCCCCACCCTCCTTTTAATAATATTTTTTAAAGCATTATATACAGGAAGACTGGGACACACTGTCAAATGAGTGCCAAGAATACCCCAGTCACCCACGATTTTAATTTGCCCAGGTGTAGGCAGATTGGTGCCATGGGCCTGTGCCCCTGAGTCCTTTAAGCAGCTTGCAATGTGCCTGCTTTATTTCACACCAGCATTGTGCCCCACAGAACCTAATCTTGACTAACAAACAAGCAAAAGGGAAGATTCCCTGCTCCCACAAGCTTACAATCTACCGTATTTTTCTCTCTATAAGACGCACCAGACCACAAGACGCACCTAGTTTTTGGAGGAGGAAAACAAGAAAAAAAATATTCTGAATCTCAGAAGCCAGAACAGCAAGAGGGATCGCTGCGCAGTGAAAGCAGCAATCCCTCTTGCTGTTCTGGCTTCTGGGATAGCTGCACAGCCTGCATTCGCTCCATATGACGCACACACATTTCCCCTTACTTTTTAGGAGGGAAAAAGTGAGTCTTACAGAGCAAAAAATACGGTAACTTTTGCCACGGGGGAGACAAAGGGAACGGAGGAGAGACAAGGAAGAGGCTTCTGTAGGTAACTACGGATAAATACAGGCATTAAGGCTGAGCTGTCCGCTCTCAGTTCTAGCACAGCTCTTGCTAGCCCACTAAGTATTGCACGCAAATGTGTGTAACTGAACAGCCACAGCTCCCCTTTCCCCGCAGCACTGATAAAGCTGCTTTGGGAGAGGGCAATGTGAAATGGAGAAGCAGCAGGTGGGAAAGGGTTAAGCATACCCTCCTAATGTGGTTTTCCTTGAATGGGGGGGTGGGAGTGCTGAAGGCCACAAGGGTTTGGTCACGTATGTTTGCATGTAGGCATCGTCTCGGGGGCCAAAGTAGTGTAACCTAAGCCATATATTTGGCTCCTGCGACGGAGGTTCTCTCCTATTTAGATGAACGATGTGTGGGTGCACCTGATGAGGACTAGGACCATGCGGCATCCGGATGAATTAAAAAACATTTCTCCTGTGCCATTTTCCTGCTGAAAATCACCTCCCTTGCAACCTGCACACACACACACACACACACACACACACACACACACACCCCGCTCTCGGAACAGCTATTTACCCCTGGAGCTCAGACCAGGGGGAGAGTCATGGAGGACCCAAGAAAGGAGGGGAAACATTGCAGGCAACATTTTAAGTCCTCAGACCTTCCCTGGTAGCAGAAGCAGCTTCAAGGTGCTATAATCAGTGCTTTCTTTCTAAAAAAATAAATGTTTAGGGCTACTCTCATTTTCCAACTCATACTGAAATACTGCCCCTCAGTGAAGCCCAACTGAGATTCACAAAGTGTTTAGGGGTATGCGTCCCCCCAGAAAAAAAGGACTGGCTATAATAATCTGCACCCCATAACTCTGTAGACAGCTGTTCCTCAAAGAATGGATATGATTACTGCAGAAGCAAGAATATCAGCATTTTTTCCTCAAAAGTGTCAAAAGGGTATATTTAGATTCAAATATTGCTTTCCATTTTTGCTCGCATGTGAATTGCCAGTATTCTTCTAATGTTTTTTTTTTCTAATTTACTCATTTTTTAAAAAATAATAATAATTAGTATACTACTGATTGGTTTAACACATGTAATTTTATATTGCTCATTAATTTTCCACTCTGTGTATGATACATTGTAAATGTTGATATTTTTAATTCAACAATTGTGTAGCTTTTGAATTGATAGCCTACATTTTTCTACAGAGCATAATTTTTGATTGGGTGAATGCCTTTTAATTACGGCGACATTCCAATTAGCTTAGTGTATTTAAAATAATTTCACAAAACCTGTTTTTTCTTTTAAAACAATCAAATGACAGAAGATAAGCATCTTTATATATATGTAAAGCTAAAGCAGCTTCAAGCCTCATTTTCTATTGTAAAGGAATAATATATAGTTGAATATGTTTACAAGGAAACTTGTCTCTTGTTTTTATATATACAGATATTTAGAAAGATAATAACAGTGATAAAAAACCACCATAATTTGAGGGGGGGGAACAATGGCTAAGCTATGGGAAAACTAAAGGCTAATTTAATTTTCCTTCAGGAAACTTCATATAAAAATAAGATAATGAAAATTATCTACAATTGTGAGACATGTTTCTAGCACTGGGGCTGAACTTTTCCGAGGGTGTAGCCTCTACTGTGAAATAACTACTACTATTATTTTTCTACTTAAGATCTGTGATGATAAGATGATGATTAATCCTTAGGGAATCCATTTTGAATAAAAATATCTTGGTTGTATCTGTGGACTCTTCTAAGGGACAAAATACCTTCTGTATAAAAAACTTTAAAGTCATGGGTGAGTTCACATTAGAAATACTTAGTAGGGACCTTAGAAGGGCAATTAATACGAGTTATTTTTATTAATTTAAATTAAATTTATATACACCCTTCATCTGAGGATCACAGGGCAGTTTATAGTATAAAGTTGGAGAACTTTCAAACCCCTTCTTTTAAAATATTGATAAATACTGACATAATAAATACTGGCTATTTGGAGATACTGTAGTCCAAAGGACTCAGATTCATATTCCTGAATAATTGTTTAGCAACACCAGTCTTTGCTCAATAGGCTCTTCAATTAAAATGTACTCTTATGATTATTGTTGATCACAGAGTACTGTTGATAGTAATTGCATATGGACAACTTTTCCAAAATACTCAAGTTACCCACGTTTGGCCGTTTCAGATAGAGCACTATGCCATAGTTTGACATTATGAGAGCTTGTACTCTCCCCTTTTTCTTCTAGTGTAGCTGCAAAGAGGTTTCACTCCCATTTTAGATTAACCACAGCTTTTCATTCCATCTAAACCCAGACAAACTAAGGTTAATCTTAACTAGGTATTCTTGGAATCAAGCTCTTTTTCAAACCATAGTTTATGAAGCGGGCTTGTTTTTGTTATCCATAGTTAAGATTAGCCACTGTCCAGAGAACACACAAAACAGAGAGTCCAGAGAACACACAAAAGCAAAGAACACAAAAAACCACGGCATGACACCACCACAACCCTGTATTTGTACTTGAGAAACTAATGGTGAGTCTAGACCTTTTGTTACAAATCGGAAAGCGGTAGCCTACACAAATCATGAATTAGGCTCCTATTTTGAAAGCAGAGAAAGAAAATATGAGCGGGGTTTTTGTTAACAAAGCATCATTTTGCTGGCTGCTGATAAACAGGTAATGTTGAGTGTGGGGAAGGGGTCGTTTTAGGAAGTTGTGAGTGGGTGAGGGATCTTGATGGGAGTTATTTCTCTGTATTAAAAAACTAAAACTTTACATTTAAAAAGTATGTCTCACATGGCCCTTTCCCTACACAGAACTAACCTTAATTTAAAGAAAAATGCACCTGCTTGTATGCAGCAACATATGTGATGCTGCCATGAATACCTCTTTTGCTATATATAATTTTTTTTTAAAAAATGTCCACTAGCACCTTAGAGACCGACTAAGTTTGTTCTTGGTATAAGCTTTCGTGCGCATGCACACAAAAGCTTATACCAAGAACAAACTTAGTCGGTCTCTGAGGTGCTACTGGACAATTTTTTTTATTTTTTAATATATTTCGACTGCGTCAGACCAACACGCCTACCTACCTGAATCTCTTTTGCTGCAATTGCAGAGGTCAAAAGCTGAGGCAGCATAATCCTAGCCAAAGAGATACTTGTATGATTTTCATACCTGACAACAAATGCGGTTATATACTACTTTTCATTCCTAGCAGCTGTCTTCATGAAGAATTTTTTTTTTTATACATGAAGCAGTCCGAAAAACCACTCCTTGTCGGACACCATGGAGCTCCTTCGTTGATTAAGGAAAGTAAGACTTGCCTTTACTTCAGTGGAAAGGGAGGCTGGAAGGGGCTACAATAACCTTACAGCTCTTTTATTCATTATCCCGTGGAGAATAATGTGGGGGAAACCTTGTGCTTCAAGCAGGCGCCTCTATCTAGCCCCTGGGCAGTGGCGCCAGCTTTGCTTGCACCCCACAACTGCAGGTGCCTGGGGCTGCACACTGTCTCCAGGGTGCACATGCGTGCTGCGAGGTGCGCATACTATGTCATTACACCCTTCGTGGTGTGCGCACTACTACGTCATCAAGCCCCCAGCGAGATGACATCACTTGCGCACATAGCAGGGCGCAGTGACATAGTGTTGTGCACTCCGGGGGGTGGGTGGGTGTGATGATGTTGTCTCACTGCACTTTATGGGTGCCCTGCACCCTCATTCAGCATTTTCTGGGAGCCATGGCACCCAGGGCCCCTGGGACCCAGCACTTATGCCGCCAGGCCTACCTCTTGTCCACACTCTGCATAAGCCAGCCTTTGTGTCTTTCCCAAGGGGTTTTGCCTGGCTGAAATGTGCCTTTGATCTGCAATAAAGCATCTTGCTGGCCTGGATGTAGTATGGAGAGATATGTGTGTGTAGAAATCACTGGTGGGGGGGGGGGTCTGGAATCCAGCCTACTGTACAAAAGTAAGAGCCACGTCCTTTACCCTCCCCAGTTTTGCCTGTAGCCCCACCCACTATTGGCATATGGCAGGGGTCGGCAAACTTTTTCAGCAGGATGCCGGTCAGACCTTGTGGGAGGCCGGACTAAATTTGGGGGGGGGGGGGATGAACGAATTCCTATGCCCCACAAATAACCCAGAGATGCATTTTAAATAAAAGGATACATTCTACTCGTGTAAAAACACACTGATTCCCGGACCGTCCGCTGCCCGGATTTAGAAGGCGACTGGGCCGGATCCGGCCCCTGGGCTTTAGTATGCCTACCCATGGCATATGGCCCCCAGAAGGTTGCTCACTAGACAATGTGGCTCTCCAGACTCACCCCTGCTAAATAGAGTTGTGCTTTTGAGATGCTTCTGTGGCCTCCGCTCCAGCAGGCAGCCATTTATACTTTTCTGCGATGTGCTAAGAGGCACCCTCTTTTCTCAGATTAGTAGGCCTTCCTTTCCTCTCCTCCCACTGGGGTTGCCTGTTCTGAGGCAGCCAAAGGTGGAAGAGAGGACAAGGCTCCTCTGTCACCATGAATAATTGTGCAGAAGAGGGGAAGTTCAGCAGACCTGGCTTGTCCTATTAGCGTACCCTCCTTCCCCACTCTGAAAAATGGTCACTCTTCCTATGCAATACCCCATCCTGATCCCACACCCTCCAACATTTCTCAAATGAATATAGGGACATTCTCTTCTGCATCAGGAAGCTTCTCCCGTGTTTGATCTTGCCTCACACACCTCTTGCCTTGAGCCAATTACAACCTCTAAGTCTAACCTACCTCACAGGAATGTTGTAAGGAAAACATGTACAAGCAAATGTACAACGCTTGCAACAGATAAATGGAATGAAATAAAATGCTAGCTGTGAGCTGCTTTGAGTCCTTATCAGAGAAAAAGCTGGGTAATAAAAGGTGGGTTTTATATATTGATTTTATTCTGTGAACTGCCCTGAGAGCCCCAGGTATAGGACGGTATATAAATTAAACAAACAAACAAATAGGTAAAACAATAAATACATACCAGAGAGTAAATCCTATTGAATTCAGCGAGAGTTAGTTCTGAGTAAAAATGCTTAGGATTGCAGTCTAAGGCCGCCCAGTCTTTACCCAGTTACCTGGGAGTAAATTCCATTGAATACAGTAGGACTTACTTCTGAGTAGACAGGGTCAGGCTCCATTTTCCAATAAAGGAATAAACACTCTACATGTTTCCTTTAAAAAATGGCTGGCTCAGGAAGCATTGCAATTGAAGAATTTAAAGTGGATAAGTTACCTTTGCCTTCGAAATTATAGGAAGGACTTTGTATGCCAGCTTCGCTGTTTCCTTCATTTGGTTCAGGTATTTTATTTTCAGTATAAACAGGACTCCATTTTTCACACACACCCCCACACCACTTTTAATTGTTCTCCAAGTTGTGGATAGGGCAACTGGGCATCAGAGCAGAAACCGGGATGGCTTTTGTAATTCTGGGATTGTCCCTGGAAAGCTGGGACACTTGGAGGGGATGTGTAAGCAACACAAGGTGGAAGCACCTGCCCCACTGTAATCCAGGCCCCTTACTGCACAAACACAGACACTGCCAGTGAATGATGCCTCTGTGGTCCCTGTGGCAATGGGAAATTTGAGGGATAAATCTTCAGGAAAGGGCTGAGCAGGAAGCCTCGTTGCAGTTAGGCCGTGGCTCCATTCAGCAGCAGATTTTGGGGTGCCATTAAAGTACAGGGAATTGTGGGTTAGATATTATTATTATTATTATTATTATTATTATTATTATTATTTTGCCATTGCTGGGAATGGGTAGAGGAGGCAGATTGTTCTGCCCAAATGTCTCTGAGTGTCTCTTTGCTGAGGAGGCTATTGAGCGGGGACAGAGCTAGGCCTTTAGAGCAGAAAGAGTGTCTGACAGACTGGAGATATTGGCGGGCGGGTGGGGGGGTTGGATGTCTGGAGTCCTGGCAGGGGTGGGGGCTATATTGGGCTCAGGGATCTCCCCTCAGCCGCCTCTCATGTCCTGAAATTCCAGTTTCAAGGGGTAGAACTTTGAACAAAGCCTCGATTGACGAGGTGCCCGCTGGTGCCATGGCAACGCCGGCTCTGTCTTGCATGGGCAGAGTGTGCCAAGAAGGTGCCATGGTGACGCCCGAGAGGCGCGCGTAAACCTGTGAAATCCCCGCAGCCGAGGAGGAGGGCAATTGTCTGCCCTGGGCACTCTCCTTAAAGAAGGCACATCCCCTTCCCCACCCCATGCCCCTGGGTAGGGATGGCTTGGCAGCGGTTTCCTCTCCTAAGCCGTCTCTGTGCAGCTGTTATTTGGGGAGAGGCAAGCTCAATAGGGTGCCCCCCTCAGTTGGCACAGGCTGTGTGCTGGGCCATTGTTGTGCTCTATACCAGCCTGCTGAATAGGAGGTGGCATCTGTTTTCTTCCAGCGATGGGAACTTCATCTCCAAAGCCCTGGCATCAGATTAGGGGGCGATTGGGTTGGGGGAGAGAACACTTTTATTGTCCGAAGGGGGCATTGCGTTTCTATCACTAATGCAGCTCACACAGAGAAGGCAGAGACTCGGTGCCAACAGCCATGACCCAGTCTGCCCCTGGCTGGCAGCTTTGCCAGTCTCCTTGTGCCACCCCCTTCCCTTCTACCCATGCCAACATGCCCACCCCCACCCCCCTCCTGGATAGGCTTTCTGTGGGGAACCGGGCGAGTGTTAGCAGGCAGCAAAGCAGACGAAACAAGAAAAGCCGATCTTCAGAGTGAAAGCAAGTGAAAGAGAAAGGGCAGGTGGGGGGGGGTGGAGTGCAGTGGAATGAGGCGAAGCTGACACCAGGACTCCTGGGTTCTCTCCCATATTCTGGAAAAGCAGAGAAGGGGGTCTAAGCGGGCTGTCCAAAGTCCGTTTCAGGGGCCTGCTGGTCGGTTTAATCGCTGGCCTCTGTGGCAGTTTTATTTCCTGGGGTAAAATCCTAAAAAAAACCTCGACAACTTAAATCCTAAAAAAAGTTCAGCAACTTCAATCCTTAAAAAAAAGGTAAACAGCTTTGGTCGGCCCTCACGGCCCTCCATTTCATCAAATCTGGCCCTCTTTGAAAAAAGTTTGGACACCACTTTAAGCAGTGGGGCAGGAGCTGGTGTCCCCAATCCATTATTAAGGAAAACACTATCCCTGATTTCTGCACCCATTACTGTTTCTCTGTATATTAACAGGACAATTAGTGCCACAATTGCGAGGTTTTAAATAAGAGAAATATATAGCTCAGGTACTACTGCGTCCATGGTTTGTTCACAATATATCATATAATGGTGTCACCTTATGCTAGATTGTAAAACAACATAATATACTAAATCCTGCCACACAATCTTCCTGCTACACAATCACCTATTTCATTTTGGAAACTAGTGTTAATAGGCGATTAATAAATGTAAGTTATAATCAAATTAATAAGCAGCCTAGTCCTGAAGGGTCTCTAATACTGTTTCGGGACAACTTTTGCATGTCAGGCTCTACATTTGGTGTTCGGCTCTGCGGTGGTCAAGGAAATTTTTGGATTTCCCCCCAAATTAAAGAAATAACTCCTTTTCCAAATTTGAGGAGGACGTTTTAATTATTATTATTAGTGGCACTGTTGTAGTTATTGTTATTATTGTTGTTATTGGCCTTTATTGGCCAATAAGTTTAAACAACAAAATCATAAAATCACCCAAAGTCATCCAAATACATTAATAATCCAAACATATACAATATGTAAAAGACTAGATAGCCACCACTGAGAAAAGCAGGCAACTTTAGATTTCACTTAAAAAATCTCAGCACTGAATATGCATCAACAAGATGTCTGATTTATCAAAAATGGTGGGACAGCATCGTCAGCAAAGCCCCAAACATAGGAGGCTTGTCTCTGGAAGACAGAAAGAAGATTTCCAGTATCAGACAAATGAAGGTGATATGCGTGGATTATAATCTAAACAATCTAGCAGGATAGAACTTTCCATGTTATTCATCCTTTTCAGGTAGCAAAAGGGAACTGGAAATCTCCATACCCTGCTATATGACATATCAAGCATGATTCCACACCCATCGCCCTTTAGTTTGCCTGCTCTGGGATCCTTTCGAAATGGCATTAACACGAGCGCACCCCCAGTGTCCCTCCCTAACAAGTGGGAAGGCTTTTGTGATAAAGCCGTACAGAAGTGGGAACTGTCTTTGTAACGTGAAATTTCCTACCGTATGTTGTTATTATGAATGCCTTATAAAACCACCGCTGGTTTTATTTGGTCAGCCCTTTTTTGGTATTAAGAAAATAGATTAAAATCATTACACAGATCCGATTTATGACTTTTTAATTGGATATTGTACTGTGTACTTTTATGTGTTAACACTGTGCTTCGGGAAAGGAGTCAGCATGGAATATGAGTAAGTTAAACTATTTGGATCAGTGAGTGAAACGTTGGCTGCATCCCCTCCCAAACCACCTACACAAAAGCAAACAGTCGTGTGTGTGAGGGTTTTCTCCATCTTTCACCTCCCTCCTTTTTTGCCCGCTCCGTGCCCACTTAGGTCCTTGACCCTCCATCTCAATTCAGACTTCCCTTCCCACCTCTTCTTGCCCCCCAAATTTGGTCCTTTCCTGCTGTCCCTTGCAACACATGTCTTCTCCTGCCCCTCTTTGTGTTCTGCCTCCCCAACCTTTCAAGTGAAGAAGGATTGAACTCTTATTCCTGACAACCAGTTTTCTATGTACAGTGCTATATCTATATATCTATACGGATAGTTCAATTATGCGACACACACCCCATGAGACAGCCCAAACAGAGGTTCACTACCTCATCTGCCTGTGAGAGCAGATCTGTGTACACACCAAACATTGAAAGCCTGTTATTTCCCTCTAGACACTCTGGAAACTGTAGTTTACCTCTCAAAGAGCTATAATTCTCAGCATCCTTAACTATTTTGACGGTGCAACCGTGCTTGTTCACATGTCTGCCTCCAGCTGTATGTTTAAAAGTGGAAGGTTGTGAACTGACATACATATTATGGCTGTCAAAGGGTGGAGAGTATGTAATGTTAACTTCAAAAGAGGCCATAAATGGGGGGGGGGGAATCCCACCCCTCCAATTGCTTGGGGTATTTTTCTGCCTTAGCTGGTGGTTCACTTCCAATTTTGGAGGTGGGGACAGAATTGCCTGAGGCAATCGAAGCCTCCCACACCACTTTCTGCATTATCAGGGAAGATACATTTAACAGCCAATGCACGCCCTCTAACATTTCTCTGATGAAAATAGGGACGTCCCATTCCATAGTAATAATTTTACTATTTTTACCCCACACATCTTACTGGGTTGCTCCAGCCACTCTGGAGCACTTCCAACATATATTAAAACATAATAAAACATTAAACTTTTTTTTTTAAAAAAAACCTTCCCTATAAAGGATTGCTTTCAGAAAGTTCGGGGGTCGGATAACATACCCTCCAACTTTCCCCATTGAAAATAGGGACATCCTAAGGAAAAGTGGGACATTCCTGGATGAAACCAGGACTCAGCTATACTGCTGCAAATAAAATGCTTTAAATGTGTTGTAAAGTGCAATATACAAATGTGACACTAGATGGCGATGGTGAGCTATGGCAAATTCAATA